AGTTAAGAATATTAACTCAAACCGACACTAATTTATGGGAAATACTCAAACATAGAATAAAATACAATAAATATTAGTTTGAAGCAGATAAAACAAATATCAATTACAGAAACAATTATAAACTTAAAAACATAAATACGATGTGTATTTATGTTTTTAAGTTTATATTTGTTTATTATATTAATAATGAATTATTATATAATATATATAAACAGAAATAGATAAAAGAGGAAAGCTATTCAATCTGGGCAAAAATTAAATCCAAGTTCATTAAATCCATAATAACAAAGATGGTGATGCTGTTTCCTGTGAAAATAGGAAAATAGAAATCATGCGCAAACTCTTTAAAAAAAATAGAAATGGATAATTCAACGGTAAACCGATTTTTCCCTCCATACAACCCATCACCCTTTAGTTCACTCATTGGAGATTCAAGAAAAAATTAAGTGGTGCAGGCTATCAGCTAACAGCTAAATGTCGTGGTCCAGATGCTCTCCCCAGTGGGTTTTATCAGTTGTATATTGATGGTAAATGGACTGTATTTATATAGCGCCTTTCTAGTCTTCCACCTACTCAAAGCACTTTTACAATACATGCCATTCACTCAGTGATGGCAAAGCCCATCGAACAGAAATTAACTCACTCATTCACATTCACTCACCGATGACGCATCTACATATTATGTAAAATGCACTTTTTTTGTGTGTTTGTACACACATATGGGTATTTGGGTGGCCTACCAAATCAGAAACTAACAAATAAATCAGACCAGTCTATTTTTTTGGTCAGAAGACCTGAGCTCCAACAAGCTGTTCAGATTTTGCTCCCCTTCCTACACGAGAAGCTGATTTGCATTGTACTGCAATCACCTCCCATGGAGGAGAGCTACTGCCATGTTTGCCCTACAAGCCCTGATTGTTCCTGAAAGCCTGGAGCTAAGTGCCACGGCTGCCCTGCTGTTTGTTGCACAGACCAGCACAGAAGAGGAAGTTAAATAATACCTAATTGTTTATTTTTATGAAATGTTCCCTACAAGGACTACAACTGCTTTCTCAAAGGAGTTCTTGCACTGTATTTATGAGCTTTTGGTAAGTCACAACATAAGTTACAGTCACAGTAAAGGTCCTGTGTAATCTGTTTTAATAATTGATTAAATAAATTACCTGTTAACATTATAGCACTGTGTGTAGCTGCTGCTATTAGCTAGACATTTGAGATAAAGTTCGTAACCTCAAACTGCTTCCTTCATAAAGAACAACATATCACTACAGTTAGCTGCAACAAGGGACCCTCCGGAGACACTGCTTTATTGTTTTATAAATAAATATTACTTTAAACCACAATGAGATATTGCTCCTTTGAGTAGTTAGTTGTACTTGTACTGTGTTATATTATACTGTATCATGTGCTGTCTTGCGAGTAACACTGAATCTGCCATGCTTTACAGGTGATCTGAGTAACCTGATGAAGCTCAGGTGTTCCTGGACCCATTAAGTAATTTCCCTAAGGGGATTATTAAAGTATTTCTGATTCTGATTCTGATTCTGATCAGAGGACAGAGACAGCTGCAGCATCAGGACAGTCTGGGTATCCAAAGGAAGACTCATCAAGATGAACACTGATTGCAGAGCTCCATTACCAGCTCACACTTCAGTATACAATAAACCATATACCTTGATGAAGGACATGATCTGCACAGCTCACATAAAAGTTATAGCTTTGCTACTCGCGCCATGCACACAATTTATATTTATGTGTAACTGGAATTTGAATGAAACATGATTTAAGTAATCCAAGTTTAAATCTAGTAATAACTGTGGTTTTAGATAAATAACATGTCATTTCGCAGAGGTTTTATGAAAAACATATTTGAATTCCTGCATGTAGAAGTGTTTAAAACCTGGTCCATGTAGCATCTATCAATATCAAAATGTGAAATAGATTTGCTAGTAATCTTGTAGTAAATGACCGTAAGCAACACAACACATTTCTGTTTCACAGTCAGACTTTATTATGATGTTGACAGATAAATTATATTTATTATTGAATTATTATTCATGGTAGAAGTGCAGATAAACTTGGTTATAGTGTGTGGCTGCCTGCCAAAACCCACGGCAACACTGATGCGGCAGACGGAAGGCGGGAACTGCGGCCATGTCATAGCGCTGACCAATCAGGACAGACTGGGCTTTTCGGGAGGGGGGCATTAAAGAGACAGGGTGATTAACTACAACGATAATGAGACATAACAGCATATTTTAATGGATTGTTACAGAGCTCAGGAAGTCTGGGACGGATTGGAAGAGTTTGGACTAAAATATGATTAGTGTTTTAAGACAACTTATTCTAAGCTTTGCATGTTTTAAGTTATGGAATATATTTGCTATGGTCATACTGTTATTGACAGTAAAACAGTAATCACTCACTGAACTCCAGAGCACAAAATCTCCAGGGAAGACGTGAAGTTACTAACATGCATTAATAGGCTCAGTGCATCATGGGAAGTCCCCCTGCAGTCTAGGCCTATAGCAGCATAACTAAGGGATGGTTCAGGACTCACCTGAGCTAGCCCTATAAACTTTATCATAGAGGAACGTCTTAAGCCTACTCTTAAATGTGGAGAGGGTGTCTGCCTCCCAAACCACAACTGGAAGCTGGTTCCACAGGAGAGGAGCTTGGTAACTGAAGGCTCTGGCTCCTGTTCTACTATAGGAACCACAAGTAGCCCTGCATTCAGAGAACGCAGTGTTCTAGAGGGGGGGGTAATAGCTTACTATGAGCTAAGATATGAAGGGGCCTGACCATGAAGAGCTCTGTATTTTTTTTTTGATTCTATTCTGAATTTTACAGGGAGCCAGTGCAGAGAAGCAGCAGGAGACACTCTTTTCCTATTTCCTCTCAGTACTTAATTTAAGGGGCTTTATTTGACTGCACGTAATACAACGTTGCCAGCGTGTTTAATGTCTGTAAATAGCTAAAATCCCCAAATCTGCTAAATTAGGTCTGCTATATTTGATGTTAAAAAGTTATATACAAGATGCAAGCCTGTTATTCAGGTGCATTTTGTCAGTATCCAAAGTGACAGCAAGGCCCAGGTTACTGTCCTCACCTCTGGCTGGGGCAGTGTGTGGGTCAAATATGCGCAGTGTGACCCGCTCTCAGAGAAAAGACCAGACTGATTCTTCTTACGTTCCTAGCAATATCTACAGTAGTTGAGCCAGGTTCTTGACACAAAGCTTTTGTTTTCCATCAGAACAATTGATAATATTGCTTATCTTCTTGTTTGGCATTTCTTCTGGCTGCTGTTTGTGATACTTAATTAAAGGTTGAATGTCAAATTTCTAATCTAACACTCAAATATAACTTCTCACATTTTTTTCCTCCCTGGGAAATGAACGATAATGATATTCCAGCTGTCCAGTTTTATGGATATATATATATATTTGTCTGTTCTTTGGCATTCACTGGCATTCACTTTTTTTTAACTTTTTTAATTATATAACACATTGTTATATTTTCTATATTCATAATAATGTTGTCTAAGGGAAGCATATATAAGGTGAATAGAATTGGTCCAAACACGGAACCCTAATGGAACTCTGCAACTAGATTAAGTGAGCATACAAACTGCAATCGATCTAAAAAATAGGACTTGAACTAGCTTAGTGCGGTTCTGTTTTTGTCAATTAGATGCTCAAGTCTCTGTAATAGAACATGTGTCATATGTAGCCCTAAGATATCACAGACAAGTACAGAGAGAGAGAAGTCCATTGTCTGATGGATTTAAAAGGGCATTAATAACTTTCACCTGTGCTGTCTCTGTGCTATGATGTACTCTACTACTGAATTCTGACTGAAAGTCCTCCATCCAGCCAACTATTACTGTAACTGTTACAGTATTACCAACAGTTTTGCGACTACTTTCTCAAGAATCTTAGAGAGAAAGTGGAGGTTAGAAATAGGTCTATATTTGACTAAAACAAGTATTACAGTATTTACTAGGGATGTCCCGATCAAGTTTTTTTTAGCCCCCAATCCTATCCGAGACATTTAATATTGTATTGAGTCCTGATCTAATACTTTTTATTTATTTTTAGCTAATACAGTGCACTTCAAGCATTCATTAGTGACTCTCAATGGCTTTTGCATGAAAAGCTTTGTGAGTAAAAACAGCTGTGTGACAACTGATGTAAAACACAAGATTGGATTGGTTCAATGAAGCTCAATATAGCCGATACCGATCAGTTAAAAAATGCGTTGATTCGTGCCTTTACTGATTGTTGAGATCGGATCCTAGTTTTAAAAATGTTTTTGTTGCACCGCTTTACACAGTAAGCAAATTTGTTTTTCTTCTCTCTATGTTGTAACTCATGAGCAATATTTGAGGACTTTATCAGTTCACAGTTTACTTACTGGAAAAGATGTTTACATTGGCCCTAGTCATCAGGTAAGAGCTGTTTGCGTGACAAAATCAATAATGCTTTGCTGGGTAAAGGGCAGTGTTGCAGAACCCACCAAACTGTAACACTGATGTCTACAATTGATTTCAGAAAATAGTTAACTACAACCTAACATCCTGGCATTGTCCTTGTGGAAAGAATGTGGAGAGCAAAATGTTTATGTTTATTGTTCAACAATATGGATAGATTCGTAATTTAATTAAATTATGTAAAGCTTCTAATAACAGCTCCTGATAATGTCATTACAAACACCCGTTGTAGCGAATGTACAAAGCAGGCTGGACAAAATGTATAATATACATTATAACTGGCTTGAAATAATTTAGATTTTGTTTATGTGCATATATAATATGTTTTTGAATCAAACAAAATGTCATTACATTTTGATAGTTGGAATGAAAAGACTTTGAAATGGGTATTTTTAATTGCAGTCAGTCTTATACAATACATTAAACATGTTGAAGTCTGTAATTGATTTACCTGGAATTCAAACACAGGAGTTGCATGATGATTGTGTGTTTGTGGGTGTGTGTCAGGGGGTGTTCAGTATGAGAGGCTATTTAACAGACACTAGACTCTGAGGCTCATCTCAGTCAGTCATGGGTCATCTTGGGATTCAGATGTGGACATGGACCGTGTGTGTCCTCTTGAGCTGGATGTGTGTGGGTCAAGCAGTGGCAGGACCGTAAGTTTATCTGTACTATTTAACAGAATAATAATAGCGTGTTTTTTTGCTGTCAGATCCAGTGAGGTATCTCCTGTATGTGTGTATGTTTCTGTGTCTGTAGGCAGTACATGGTAGCCATACCTGCGGTTCTTGAAGCTGGAGCTGAGACCAAGTTCTGTGCGAGTCTCCTGCAGCCCAACGAGACTCTGGTCATGACCGTCACTTTGATGTCCCAAGACAAGAATACAACCCTCCTCCAGAAGACATCCAGTGAAGCATTTCATTCCTGTGAGCAGTTTCAGGTCAGCTCTTCAGATCTTTGATTAATTTGCTCAATGCCACAACGTTCTGTGAAAATGCAACATTCCTTAAACTGGAAACTTATAGTCACAATGCTGAAAATAAATAAATGTTTTTGTAATACAGAATACATTTGTGATTTTAGGTTTTTAACTGATCAACTGAAAACAGATGAAGTGAAGACTCTTCAGTATTTCAGTAAGAGTTAATGGCTCTCTTGGTGTCTCTAAAATATCCTTCTGTCACAGGCTCCTTTAGTGCAGAATGAAGTGGTGCAGAAGTTGGAGGTGGAGGTACGAGGCAACACATTTTACTCCAAAGAAGTCAGGAAAGTCATGATCAAAGGCTATCAACCAGTGACATTCATCCAAACAGATAAACCAATCTACCTCCCTGGACAAACAGGTAACTCTGAGCTGATTTTCTATAATTAGAAGATAATCAAAGACAGTGTGACACACTTCTTCAGCTATTTTATATGCCATTAATTTTTAAGCACTGTTCTGTTAAATAATGCTAAACAGATAACAGAAGTAGTAATGTAAATGCCAAATGCAAATTATCTTTTTGAACCTCATCTAACTTGTAAGTTGATAGTTTGATAGGAATTATGTAATGTCTAAGTTGATCATTTATCAGTGCCGTAGATGAGCTGTAAAAGCTTCATTTAATTTCTTTTCTCTCACATTTCTCTCAGTACATTTCAGAGTCGTCTCACTGGACACCAAACTGAGACCTGCCAGTCAGCTGGTGAGTGTTTGGACTGTCTCTCTTTTCTTTGAGATCTCATTTAGAGGTGTCCTGTGCTGATCCTAAAGACAAGTATTGGGACTGATCTGAGCATTTTGAATGAATCTAGAGATGAGCGTTGTTGATATTTTCATTAGTAACCTGTAATGTAATGTAACCACTTTACAAACAGAGTGTTTCTGTTGACCCAACAACTCCAGAGGGAGCTGGTCTCTTGACATTAACTTAAAAAGTCAATGTAACCTTTTGAACCAGGACCTTCAGTATTTGGATCAAGTAGCTTGTAAACAATATGGTGTCAGATGTATCTATTATATCAATGTGTCATACATATTTAATCAATATTTAGTTACATATCAATATCAGTGACATTGTGGCAATGAAAACCAGTATTAGTGACACTGTTTGATAGTGGTGCAGGTGAGCTGGAATATACACACCAGCTAGTGGAGTCAGTTATGTAATATATTGACTTACACTGGTGATCAATGTGTGTGCTCTTCAACCAGAGTTAAGTCTCCAGTCTGCTGCTGGTGAAGCTCTGGGTCAATAGTACACCCAGGGCCCCTTTAGGTAAACTAAACTAAAACTTTAAATATTTTTGCTGACACAATAAATCTGTAGACCCTTATACCAAAATTTTTTATAAACTATTAATCAGAATTACATACACTGAGACGGAGAGTTCATCTGAGCGTCGACTGTTCATCATTGATGTCTTACAGAAAAATGTCTAACCAGGACTCATTAGGACCCACTGTGATGATAACAATGTAAACCGACTTGTCCTTTACATATCTTTCTCTTTCTCTTTTTTTTTTTTTGCAGTACAATATCATCGAAATTAAGGTAAAATATTATTCATGCAACATTGTTTTTTTTTACGTACATTCAGTAAATTTTTGATAAACCAAACTTTCTGTGAGCTGTAACTTCAAAACTCAACTCCCAAATTTCTTATGTCGATGCTGACATCAAGATTTCACAGTATGAAATGTATGAATGATAATGTAAGAACAGTAGATTTCTACAGCAAACGTCAATGAAAATTAATCTGTTATATGTCATAACAACACATACCTGAAAAATTACATTAAATGCAACCTTAAAAATTCATTTTTGGGGCACCCTGAAAGCTCACCTGGTAGAGCTGGTGCCCCATGTACCAAGACTGAGTCCTTGCTGCAGTGGCCATGGGTTTTCATACAAAGTTTTAAAAGCGTGCATTCTAGCATCCTGCTACAGTCTTCATCAGTTGATATAGTTTGCTCAGTTTTGTTTTTCTTATTGTTTTTGTACTGCACAAAATCCATTCAAGACTGTTATATTCAAACAGTGATATAAAAGCTAGTAAGTGGAGATTTTGTCAAACTGCATTAGACTTGATGTTAAAGGGATATGAAGCAATTATATATGCTTTTCTTTGTTCATATATCTACAAATACACTATACACACTGATGTCAATATATCAGCAAGTGGGCACTAATATAAGCCTGCCAATACATTGGTCGAAAACAATGTTTTTCATACAACAAGTACAATTTGATACTATTTGAATGTATCACGATTAGCATTATATTTCTGTGTGGCATGTACATATTTTCTGTTTTAGTACCAGTTCTTCCCATTTATTTTATCAATCAGGATGCTAACAGCAACAGGATTGGACAGTGGCTGAACCAAACATCCAATGGTAAAATACTGCAGCTTTCTTACTCATTGAACTCTGAGGCCCGTGAAGGAGGCTACAGCGTTATTGTGTCGATTGGTGAAAGTAAACTGTATCACAGCTTCAAGGTGGAGAAATATGGTATGTTGATTTTTATTCCCTTCTGTTTCCATCCATTTGTAATGTAGCAAGAATGCTAACATTCATATTTTGTCTCTAGTTTTGCCCAAATTTGATGTAAAAATAGATTCATCTGATGAATCAAATATTGAGCAGGAAGAAATCAAAGCTGAAGTATGTGCAAAGTAAGTAAAAGGCCTTTCACTCATTATACTCAATACTTAACACTTAAATCATCTAAAAAGGATCCAGTATGGTGAGTGACAACAACACAATTGTCTATGTCCATCTAATAAGGTACACATATGGACAGCCTGTGCCAGGCAGTGTTAATGTTAAGGTGTGCCGACCTCTTCAGCGCTATTTGTATGGTACCCCTGTAATCACCACTGAACATCCAGAGGGAGTCCCTGAGATCATTCCCCCATGCTACAAGGAGACAAAGCAGGTATAGTTGCCATAGCGACCATCTCATCTCTCTCTGCTGAAACAATGTGAATGTAAGGGTAGACCATACATGTATACATGTATATTTTATAACATAAGTACAGTCATGAGGCACATTTGCGATTTCTGCTTCTAGACCAGCTGGCCCTTGTGACAATCCTATTTAATTTAAGCATGTTTGTATCCATTGCTTTCACCTTGATCAGAGAGTTTTTCAAGTGAGAAAAAACAGATTTTGAAAATCACAAGTTTGTGTTTTGGCCAAGTTTGATTTCACATTTCCAAAGGCTTGCATGCCGAAAAAACTTACACTTGAACAATGGTAAAGCCAAAATAACTAGAGCAGGGTAACAGATCATTTTACTTTTAAATGAATTAACTCAGCTACTGATACAATGGCAGACATTTTATTACCACCACCATTTCAGATAGGCCTACTGAAAGAAAAGTGTCTGCACTCAAGTTCCAAGTCCTAAACTTTGAGCTTCGAGTCCTAATGCGGTCTTCACCAAATGTCATTTAATAACAGAGTCATAATAAATTACAAAGTAAGTATGCGCTTTTTTTCAGGTTAGAGTAGTTAACATGATCTTTTTTCTCATACTGTACATTACTGTGTCTAATTTGTCTGCTTGTTTTAGGTGAACATGAAACTAAATCAGGGTGGTAATACTCTTGTCTGTTCAAACAGATCATTGATCATAACAAAATTATCTTTGGTATAATTTTTTCAAACTCAGTAATGTAACGTTACATCTTCATGGTTCTCTCCTGAAACTGGATTGGATGCTGTCAAATTGGCTCAAACTACATGGATAAGGCAATAAGTGGTGACACACTGGGAATGAATAACGTTAACGTTAGTTGATTCAGGAGATGATTTGACTCATGGAGATGATTTGATTCTTGGCACACTTAAATACTTTTTTATAAAGAATTGGGCTTGGGGGAAGGTATCAAGTATTGCCATGTCCAAAGGCTCAAGTTCAAGTGAAGTCCCAGGCTGTTGTTCTTTTGATTTTGAATGACCTTTTAAAGTTCAAGTATCAAAAAAAGTTTGAAACGTCCTTCTATTCATGTTTTAATTTTATTTCTTTATATATTTTTTTATTGTACTTTATAGACGGACAAGAAAGGCTGTGCCACTTTTACTGTCAAGATGTCCACGTTCACAAAACTTGACAAAAAGGTGCTGCAAGATCATCTGCAACTCAGTGCCAAAGTGGTAGAGGAGGGGACAGGCAAGTCTTACATTTATAAACAGTTAGTACATACAGAAGATTACAGTGCTGTGAATTTAAACAATGTGGCGTAAACAGTTATAACATAGAGGCTTCTTTTACAGGTATTTCACACCCACAAGAGAAGAGAATAACCATTTCATATGTTGTTGGAAAGTTGTCCATCATTGACACACCCAAGATTTACGACCGAGGATCAAATGTGGAGGGAAAAGTAAGTGCATGTCTCTTCTTGAGTGTGATTCTCTACACAAAGTGCAAAGGAAGTTTCATTCTCAGTGATAAAACTTGTTCTTCCAACAGGTCAAAGCAGTTTATTACAATAATACACCCATTGCTGACATGCCAGTGTACCTGTTTGAGGGTGAATCATGGTCATCACGCCGGCTGCAGAACCTCACAACTAGCAGTGATGGTGTCGCAACTTTCTCATTTAGCACAGCTGACTTTAATGGGGACATCCACCTCCATGTAAGTAAGAACACTCAAAAGGCCAACCAGGGAATGTGTTTGATGAGCAAACTGGAATTATGTTCGTATTAATTGAACCAATTGTCTTTATGTTCATTAAATGATTTATCAGAGATAATTGATAAGAATGAAATCAACCCATGTTGGTCCAACAGAAACAAATCATTTTGTGTGATATTGACTTGTTGGCTTTTGTTCCATCCCCACGTGGTTTGTTGTATGTTTTTATTCAGTCTTTCAGGATTAAGCAGTTGTGTTGAGCCAACTTAGTGTACTTGTGTTGGGCCAATTTGATTTACAAGTGTAATTTTACAACTGTGAAATTAGTTTAATCAACCCTGTTAAAGTTGATTCAAAGGGTTTTTTTTAATGAATTACTAAAACTATAAGCATCAAACTTGAAGCATCATTTGTCAGTCACATCATAACGCTTTAATGAAGTTGATAATGCAGCCCAGAAGCTGAAACCATAAATGGAGCCGCCATATTGGAACTGTTTACATTTGCTTTAGCGGTAAAGACTGAACTCACTTTCCGAAGCTTTCTGGTTTCTTTTCTGCACCCTAGGTTAGCAACAAACCGACACGGGAGTACTCTGGTTATAGAACTGCATACTATGAGGATGCAGATCACAAATTGTCTTTGGCCCAGCCTCCCTCTCTACATACTAAAACTGTCAGCTCCCTAGAGGTGAAGAAGAAGGATACACCACTTCCCTGTGACAGTGATGAAAACATCTCCATCCGATACACTGTTGTTGGAGAGGCTCAGGGCTCTGTGGATGTGATGTATCTGGTGAGTGGTGGGTGAACTATTTGTCTGCTTGTCTTCCAGGGACATGCACATCAGGAAGTTAAAATTGCCTGTTAAAATCTGATTATTGACATCTGTCTGAAAGGAACACACTTGTTAGCATGGACTATGATGAGTTATAGTAATGGATATAATGACAACCAAAAACTGGTTGGCCTTCAAACAAAAATCTGCTCTCACTTGATTTTTTGAAAATATTTAGGTGTTAAACATTTTTGTAGACTCATTAAATCAAAATTAACTATTACAACATCATTGAAGCTAAACACTGGCTTTCAAGTTGTCTCACTGCCACTATAATTTCTCCTACACGCTTTACAGCCAGTTCTCATTCCCAGGTCGTCAGATACAGACGGCAGCAGTGTTTAGTTAGTTGCAATTTCACCGCTAGATGCCACTAAATTCTACATACTGGTCCTTTAAGTAGTGTCATACAGCAATAAAACAAAATGTATGATTAAACATTATGAAGTTACTTGAGTTTAAAGACTCAATCATTCGTCATACAAATAAAAACTTTTATTTGCACACTGCAAATTGCCAAAAGTTTCCAAATATAATGCAAATTTTATTCAAATCAGCAAAAGAAAATAAAAATGAATATGTGTTTCCATTCACTGCTTTTATCTGTATAGTAGGAATTGAGCACTTTAAGATTAACAAATGATGACGTTAATTCTCCAGTCAGGTGCCATTAAATTATTGCAGAAGAAGAGCATTTAACAAAATAAAAAGAGCAGCACTAAAACCTCAAATAGAAAATAAATATGACATTTATGTTTATCATTTATTTGTATTGTATGTATGTTTTACAAATGTATGTTACAAAGATAAAAGATCAGATCATGTATTCATTTGAGGAAAGAAATTAAGTTTTACTTTTGCATTATTAATTTTTTGTGTCATATTTTCCAAAATTCCCCAGGTCTTATCCAGAGGAGCCATTGTCACGCAAGGACTTAAACAGGTTGAAGTTCAAGATAAATCAGGTGGGTAAACAATGACCTCTTTAAATTAACCTCTAAATTAGCATGACCAAATAATTTCCGAACTGCATACTTACTGATCTATGGATGCATGTGAAAGATGATGATTATCAATATCGGTCTGTTGTTACAGTGAATGAGGGCGAAGTATCCTTCAAGTTGAAAGTGTCTGCAGAGATAGCACCAGAAGTCCAGATTGTGGCTTACACCATCCTCCCCAGTGAGACTGTCATCGCCCACAGTGCTGACTTCTCCACCGAGAAATGCTTCAGTCACAAGGTCAGTATAAGAAGACTTGGCAACAGCTGTGATTATCAGATGTGAGTTAAGACTCAAAGTGTAATAATTTGTGTCACAAAAGGTCAGTATGTAGTCCTTCAACAATTATATAATTAATGATGACCACAGAAGTTGTCAGTTTAATTATTTTAAAACAACTTTATTCAAGGAGTGGATTTGTTTTCGATGTGGTGGCCCTGCCATTTCAGTGTGCCATTCAGTTATAAACTACTGTTGTAAATGTGGACAGCTATTCACGTTTGATTGATATAATTACATTACTTATGCTGTGCCTGTGATACACACACAGACATTCCCTTGGAGCTCTGAGCTGCCAGTCCTGACCAATCCGACACCACATAAACTATTAGCCTTTGAGACAGAACCCTGCTACTTTCAAGCAGTGTCCTGTTCGCCATGTTTTTCCCCAGATAGCAAAGTTGTGACCCACACAACTCTGACAAAGGGTTTAACCTGAGCCAGGTCATACTGTAAAACAATGATAGTAATCATACAGTCTTAGAAGTATACGCTTGTTAAATTATTTTTGTATTGGATCAGTACTCAGTATCGGCTTTCAACCTATTACAAGTCAATGTAGCATCAAAATGACTTAAAAGCTGTTATTTTTTAGGTAAAAAAAGATAAATTTTGCTTTAATTTTACACAGGTAGTGCGCTCCGTGTGCAGTCCTCAGTAGTTATATATATTTATAGCCATCTTGGATTTTGAGGTTGGGGCTATTAGTAACAGTACTTGCTGTGTCGTTGTTTGCGCAACATCGTGGTATTTTTCAAGGCAGAAGGCAGAAACCTAGAACAGACCCTTTGGCTCTAGGTGGGTGGTCGTCTGCCTCGACCAGTTGGGGTGAGAGAGAGAGAGAGCAACTCAGACCACAAGACTTCTATGTGTGATTTAATTTGAAAGGCCTTCTGATTGCGCGATGTGTGTTATCTTGTGTCAGGTGTCGCTGGAGTTTTCTCCGTCCTCAGCTGTCCCAGGAGAGGAGACCACCTTGCAGGTGACAGCCCAGCCAGACTCTCTGTGCGGAGTGAGCGCTGTCGACCAGAGTGTCCTCATCAAGGAGCCAGGGAAGACTCTGGAGACAGATAAGGTAAATGATAGAATAAAACCAATCATTTACCACCATTAATATGATCAGTCAGGTTACAGTTTTATTCTGCTACTATTTTCTTGTATCATGGTTAATCTTAATTATCTTCTGATTTTGGTTATTTTTACACCCTGTTATGAAAATGCTATACAAAAAAGGGATGATCACATATGTGAGGTATATCCCTCTGTAAGAGTAAACATTTTGAATAATGGCACTGTTTTGAAATCTATCATTTACACTCACGTTAAAGGATATACAAAATTCACTGCTACCAGATGTACTACATCTGAGACGAAAATGTTTGGGTACTACGGCCAAACAGACTCTACTGACAAAACCAGTAATTTTACCTCGTCGATAATTGTACAATATCTTTGAACTGGACAGAAACAAAATAAAACTCACCAAAACCAACAAATGCGCCCATCAAAGTACGTCCACTAAAAGTGCTTGTTTTTGCCACTGACATGCCTAACATGTCTTACGACATTATGAATAGGATTCCCCTTAAAGGCGGATCTTTAGTTTTTTTATCAGAAACAGCTGTTGTATCGCTCAGACCAAACTCCATAGACAAAAATGGTAATTTTACCTTGTAGATTATCGTAACACTGTAACTTAATTCAAAGTGGACAGAAACAAACTCACCAAAACCATCTTTTTTTATGTTTCCACTGCTCCAACAGTCTTGGTGATTGGTTTGGTCTAAATTAATTGTTAATTCACCAAGGTCGATTATAAAAACAGCTGTTTCCTTTGCTCTCAGTTGTACATGGAGAGACTTGCATGCGCTGCCAGGCCAGCTTTGTAAACACACCACAGACAGGGTAGGGAAAGTGAGGTCATTCTCTGCTCAGGACACACCATATGTTGACATAGGAAATAGTTGTTTGCTGTTATAATCATGACATTTAGCAGTTTATAATTGTAACTTAATAATAATTAATAATGATTGTAATCATTCCCTTTTCCAGATATTTGATTTGTTGCCTGTAACAAAAGCAACCTATATTCCATATGAGGCTGAAGATCCTGTAGAATGCTTGCATGTGAGACCTAGGAGATATGTTTTGCCATACCCGGACCGTGACGAGAAAAGTGATGCTCATACAGTTTTCCAGGTACTGCACAAAAAAAAATACAATATAAAGAGTATATTAAGTTGTTTACATTTAATTAACATTAATGTGATACCTGTATGTTGTTGGATTATCTAGAATGTAGGTCTGAAGATGGCAACAAACTTGTTTATCCGAGTGCCTTCATGTCTCAAGTTCAAAGGAAGAGAATACCACCAAGGCCACTTTGGTGACTTTTTTTTGCTCTATCAAGTGACACATTCTGAATATTTACCAGCATTAAAGCGGCTCCCTGTATCATTGCTGCCCTCTGCTTCTGATGGAATATTTTCTGGTTTCTTACAGGTGTTATAAGTTATGACAGTGTTCCTCAAATAAACAGGATGGGAGTGGGATTGGGGGCTGCACCTGGTCCTGGTATGGCATTCGCCGAATCCTATCCTGCTCCAATAGAAACAGTCCGCACTTTCTTCCCTGAGACCTGGATATGGGACCTGGTTGAAGTTGGGTGAGTTTCTGTCAGCAAGGGTGTTGATGGTCATGAAATAGGGAAAAACAAAATGCATTGTATATCCAAATTAATTTTTGTTCGAATCGAACATGTGAACTAGAGTGCTTCTCTTTGACTTCCTGCTGTCTCTCTGCACACATGCATAGCATGAAAATAATTTACTGACACTGATCCTGATTGTGTAAACTTCAGTAACGTGGAACTCTGTATTACTGCAGTTTCTGACTTTCTAAACACTCAAGAACACAGCATAGAAGAAACTATTTCACATTTACATAGACTATTTAAGGTCACAGTAACTCTAATGTGTTGCTATTGGTACAATAATTCTTACACATTAATCATATTCTCACATTGTTTTTCTTTAACTAATCTGTGTTATGTAAGTACGTATTTCCACCAAATTGTATTTGTGTATCTCTCAATCCAGAGAGTCTGGAACGAAAGATGTGTCCCTCACTGTCCCAGACACCATCACCACCTGGGAAACAGAGGCTTTCTGTTTGTCCCCTCTGGGTTTTGGCTTGGCTCCTCGTAAAGAGATCAAGGTCTTCCAGCCCTTCTTCCTCGAGCTCAGCCTGCCCTACTCCATCATCCGGGGGGAGCACTTTGAGCTGAAGGCAACCACCTTCAACTACCTGTCCAGCTGCATCATGGTAATGAATGCTTTCACATTACCTTACTGCAAATGTCAGTTCATAATGATAACACTATCATGCTGGTGTTCAGCGGGTCATTTTTACCATCGCAATCATGATGACAGAGTTACCAAGGTTCTGGTAAATATTTGGAATAATCCTCATTTTATTAACTAGTTAAGTTTAACTAAAGTTAAGTACTACTTGATAACTTGATGCTTTTATTTGGAAGATAACTTTTTGGAAGATGCACCTCCCAAAGGTCAAAATCGCCTTATTTTGCGACCAGTTGAACAGTTGTTGGCATCTGCCATAAATTCCTAGTTACAAAATAAATATTATTTTCTCTACTGAACAGGTCACTGTGACTCCAACACCCTCCTTGGATTACACCCTCACCCCCCTCTCTGGTGACCAGTACACATCCTGTCTGTGTGGCAATGAGCGCAAGACCCTCAGCTGGACCATGGCTCCCTCAGCCTTGGGTAAGGGTCAAGCGTAGGCATACCAAGGTTTAGGATTACTGTCCCTCTCTCTTTCTCTATGGAATTAGTGAGATCCACCAGAGTGACGAACTGTTTTGACACTTTTTATAGAATTTACAGGATCTGATATTAATCAAGTTTCACGTCGTTCTTGTTGATATGTTTTAGGGGTTATGAATGTGTCAGTGCGTGCTGAGGCTTTGGCTTCCCAAGCTTCGTGTGACAATGAGATTGTGAGTGTGCCAGACAGAGGTCGTATTGACGTGGTCACGCGGTCTCTCATAGTAAAGGTTGGTACCTCAAGAACCAGATAACAATGAAAACGTTTATCCATTAACCATTATTGCATAGCATTTACAAAATGGAGACTCTGAAACTCACCTTATTTCCTTCACTCTCAGGCTGAGGGAACTGAGATGACAAAGACGTACAACTGGCTGCTCTGCCCAAAAGGTCAGTATGGTTTACACCAGTGATGCTGCTATAGGTTGGGAGGAGTCGAGTAGATTAAATAATATAAAAAATAATAATAGTAATAGGGACATTTACTGCTTGCAGGTAGCAATTATTTTATTGTCTCAGAAAGGGGTGGGCGATATGGGCAAAAAATAATATCTCAATCTTTTTTGGGATTTTGGCGATAACGATAATCAGTCGATATCCTTTAAAATGTGATTAGAATTGTCTGAGCTGGACTTGTGTCCACCAAACGCATTTACAGCGCTGAGAGCGCTCAAAAACTCATTTTCCGAGCGCCCAGCGGTGTTAAAAGTTGAACAGATTTCAACTTGAAGCACTCTGAGCGCTGCGCTAAAAAAACCCGTCTCCGCTGACATCTTTTACCGCTGAAGGCGCTTAGCGCTCTGAACGCTGAAGCCCATAGGACCCACGTCTCGGCACTAAATCATCTGAAGTACCGGTAGCTTCAGGGACTGGAGGTGCTTGCATTTTCTCTCTACCATCGCAACGCGCTGCTAAACTGTTGCAAGGAGGATGCTAGCGAGAGGTCACGTGATCACGCCATGTGATCACGTAGGCCCACTAGTGGTGTGACTGAATCCTGCCATGCTGTAGAGAGCGCTGCTGCACCGTGTATTAATGGATGTGAGGAGTTTCCGCGGGCGTTTCATTGTTTTTGTCGAAGTAATTTAAATACTCGATAATGGAAATTTGCACATCATCAAAACAACAATGACGATATTATCGCAAACGATATATATCGCCCACCTCTAGTCTCAGATTGATTTAGCATCTGGCAATGTTCCCCACTGTGCCCCTCACCACGGAAAAGCTCCGCCTGGCTGTTCAGAGTTGCCATGCTAGGACTGCTAAATTGAACTGAAATCAAACTGAGCTAGTATATGATGATATGTGATATGCTGTCCTCTATTTTTATAAAATATGAATTTGACAGGTGTAGAGTCGTCTCAATTCTTCCATATTGCACCTTTAAATCCCAATAATATCTTTGTTTTAGTACTGGGCTATACTTAAGGTTTCTCTCTATAAGGTGATTATTCTCTGTCTCTGTACACAGGGGAAGCTTTGACAGAGGAAACAGACGTACAACTCCCTGACAACATGATTGATGGATCTGCCCGTGCTACACTTTCAGTCCTGGGTAAAAGAAAACTAAATTCATTTGAATTGAGGGTTGCTTTAACCATCCAGTGTCTGACAAGTTAACAGGCTTACCTCCCTTCAATCCTCATCATTATTAAAGGCTTCAATAATAAAAATGGACTATTGTCCGTTTCATTCAGCATGTTTGTGGGTAGTGTAACAATATAATGTTTGATTTGATTGTCTTTCAAGTCCATAAAGAAATTAAAGGTCAAGTTAGTTACATGTTTGGTCTTAAGGAGTCAGTGTTTTCATGCAGGTGACATTCTGGGCCGAGCTCTGAACAACCTGGATGGGCTGCTGAGGATGCCATATGGATGTGGTGAACAGAACATGGCGCTTCTGGCCCCCAACATTTACATCCTCCAATACCTGAAAAACACACAGCAGCTGACCCCAGCTATCAAAGAAAAGGCTACCAACTTCCTGACCAGTGGTGAGTCTCGGTTGGTTTTATATTGAAGCTAAAAAGAAAGATTTAAGACCTTCGGATATGTAAAACGTACCATCTGTAACAATCTGTTTCTGGTTGCACAAAATATAAGCAGATGATCTGTCGTGCATAATTTCCCCTGTCATAGTCCTGGACACCAGGGAGACTTTTATTGTATGTCATCCCCCTCTCTCGCCTTATTTCCTGTACTGCCAGGCATTCAATGAAGGCACAATATTCCCCAAATGTGTCTTTTCCTTATGTCTGTACATTCAAACAGATTTGTTTATGTTGCAGACAGCATAAACAAATTTACCTCCAATCAAAATTCATCAAAAATTCTATAAAATCAGACAATGTGTGTATCAATAATGCTCTATTTCTATTGTTATACAGGCTACCAGAGACAACTGAACTACAAACATCAAAACGGTGCTTACAGCACATTTGGATCAGGAGCAGGAAACACTTGGTGAGAATGTTACTGATCAATAATCAAATATAATCAATCAAACATACTGTTCAACATTTACCATACTTTTGTCATACTATGACATTCAGTTTAGTTTAAGAAAAAAAAACATGATACTTAAAACAGAGAGTAGATGATGTGACTGTACTTCCAAAAATGTCAAAGAACTAGCACTGACAAAAGCCAAGTTGGTCAAAAAGACACAAGATGACACCACAACAACTACAGCGAATGGCCAACTACACGCTTACTTTCTGCGTCTGTGTGAGAATGACTCTTCATACCAGCAGGTGGCGGTAGTTTACATTTCTCATTAAAAAAAGAACACCGGAAGACCAAGGACTGGAATATGAACTAAAGCAGCCTTATGGATGTAGGTTTGTCCGCTCTCACTCAGATGGTCTTGTAAAACAGCTGCTTCTAATTGAAAGAAATGTCGGAAAAGAAGTTGCAAATGGCACTGAAGTTGAAAAATGCAACAAACAATGTTGTTTAAGCTAAACAGCCAATCAGAGTGATTTCTGCCACGGATGGCCTCGGCCTCCACACGTTCATTTGGCCAGAAAAGCCACAGACAAGGGCCGACGACAGCCAAAGACACCAGTGTTGGGTCATCAACTGACTGTCAGCCTGGTGTTTCAGGGCCTTTAATCCTATTATAGTTAATAGTTTTTCACATCAATACTACAAAATTAATATTAGCTTAGCTAATGACCTTAAGCATAAAGTGTATTATCAGTGTTTCCTGTTGTCTTATTTTTGTTAGTTATTGTCTTACGTTGTTCTCATATCTTCAGGCTGACTGCTTTTGTGCTGAGATCTTTTGCCAAAGCACAATCTTTCATCTACATCGACCCAACAAACATTGAAGAGTCGAAGACTTGGCTGAAGCGCAAACAACGAGAAAATGGCTGTTTTGAACAGTCGGGGAAACTCTTCAACAACCGAATGAAGGTAAGCTGACAGTCCCTGTAGAGAGTGTATGAAAATGACTGATGACAGCTGACACTGAAGAGGTTCAGCACCTCTTTCATTCATGACTAAGTTGTAACTAATGCTAACCTGTGGCTCGGTCCACAACATTTGCAACATGAGGTAATTCCCTCTTGTGTTACATTAGACAGGTTTCACTGTTTTTCCACAAACAGCATTATTATGATTCATTTATAAGCAGCCAGGAGCCCTGTAGGACTCCCATTTAATTGTAAAACAGGATACTGCCATCATTTGCAATCTGCATGTAAACAGTGTCACTTTGGGGCCCCTGGGTTGTGGAGGAACAGTGTTGATAATGTCTGAATGATGCTTCCTCTCTACAGGGTGGTGTGTCTGATGAAGTGACTCTCAGTGCTTACATCACTGCTGGCTTCTTGGAGATGAATACGCCTGTAAAGGTAAGTCGACTCTTTGCAGTATAAATGTTGTTTTAAATGTAAACTGTGAATGTTAACAAAGACAAGAAGGGAGAAAACAGTTGGTGTAATTCCACATTATTTCAAAACTGTACTTTATTTATATTAATTTGAATTAAACCACTGTAGCCTAGGCCTACCCTAGGAGGGAGGGATCTTGTACTTTCTGGTGTCACTGGTGGCCACATTGACAAGTGGCCATTTACATGACTTCCTCATGTTGTGGCACACACACACACACACACACACACACACACACACACACACACACACACACACACAGTTTTTACAAATGTAAAAATAAATACAAAATGATGTTGATTTATGAATTGAATGAATGTGATATGAAAAACTAAATGAATATGTACTGGATATATAACAAATGTTTTAATAATATATAATAATTTGGTCCGCGTTCTCAGGTTAGTGGAACTGTTTCTGCTGTGTCCTCCCTTTGTACTGTTGTTTAATGTTACAGTTACTGGAGTTTGTTCACACAATGACAGGCTTTATGATCATAAAATATAATTAACAGCAAGTTAATTCTATTTTATGATCATTTTGTGTTTAGATCAATAAAGTCAGTTGATGTGATACATTTATTTATTATAATGTCTTAATCTGTTAAAGAATCCAGTGGTGAATCAGAGCCTGTCTTGCCTCAAAGAGTCCATCAGTGACCTCAGCAACACGTACACCACAGCTCTGCTGGCCTACGTCTTCACCCTGGCAGGAGACATGGAGACCCGTGCTCACCTTCTGAATCACCTAGACACGGTCGCATTAAACCAAGGTGAGTCATCCAATCATTCTGGCTTCATTACTGTGAATGTAGCTGACCTCTTGTCTGTTTGTCTGTTTGTGGATGGCTGTTTGTAGGAGGTTTCCTCCACTGGTCTCAGACAGCAACAGAAACGTCAGCCTCTCTATCAGTGGAGATCAGCTCCTACGTGCTGCTGGCCAAACTCAGTGCCTCTCCTACCGCTGAAGACCTGGGCTATGCTGCCCGCATCATCAGATGGATCACAGGGCAGCAGAACTATTATGGAGGCTTTTCCTCGACACAGGTACAGCCCCCCAAAAAAGCCCTGTTAAACATACAGTATTCTCTTCTGGGACAAATAACAAAGCTAGTTGAAGCCATATTTTTGTCTTGATTACAATGATTTATTCAATGAGCTTTTAAATGTTTTATTTTAACAACAATTTAATGTACATGTAAATTTAAGCACACAAAGTATTATTGTGTGTGTATGTTGTAGGACACAGTGGTGGCTCTTCAGGCTCTGGCTCTCTACTCCTCTCTGGTGTTCAGTCCAGGGGGTTCAAGCACAGTGACTGTCCAGTCTCCCAGTGGTCGGCTGACATTTGATGTGAATCAAGACAACAAACTGCTCTACCAGGAGGAGGTGCTAAAGGACATGACAGGAAAATACAGCCTGGTGGTGCAGGGCAATGCATGTGCTTCAGTGCAGGTCAGTAGTCACTGCATCTCTTCCTGTTTGATATACATACACCACCACAAACACTACGCTAATATAACTATGCTTTAATAGGTCCCTACAGGATTTCACAGGCTGTTATTGAGATTGTTGCAGCTGAAAATTCATGATTTCACAGCAATGTATGTTGCAATGTTTTCAGAAATTTAATTTTTCAATCAAATTGCAAAGTGAAAATTGCAACAATAGTTGCATTTTTGTATAATTCATGAGAAACTCTAAGGCAGTACTTTGGTGTTGGTCGCACAGAATTATCATGGATTCATTGAATTTTCCTTAATGCGTTTGAAAATTCATGAAGGGACTGTCTAATGTTAACAACCCAGTTGTAATACAAAGCAGTTCCAGAAGTTCCATATCCCCGATCTTATAGGTCCCTGTGGTATGCTTTGTTTAATCCAAGGTTGTTTCTTGTTCCAAAGAAATGGTGAAATCTAACTATTTAAATTATTATGAAAGGATTTTGTTAAAAAATATATGGGATATATTGAAAAACATATAGAAACAGAGGAAATGAATCTCTGTCCTTCTTCTCTTGTTAGATCTCCAATTGGCATAAGTTCACTGTTAACAGTGTATCCAAATATTTAACCAAATTCTTCCAGGAGCTTTTGAAGGTTAAGAAAGTGTCAGGCATAAATAACATCATGTCGTCAGCATAAAGCGAAACATTATGTTGGCAAGGCATGGCAAATACGCGCCAACACTTTCCTTCAAAGCAGCAGTCACTGGCTCCGTTGCCAGGGAAAACTTGTGGCTAAGCTTAAGTACTATTACTTAACTCTCCTTGTGTACTTTTATCACAGATTTCTCTTCACTACAACATCCGGACTCCTGCTGATGTCACCACTCTCAGTGTGGAAGTCAAACCAGAGGCCGACTGCACTGGCAAATCTCAAAGACCCAAACTCACTCTGAAGTTAAAGTCCTTGTAAGTAATCTTTAACAACTATATCCATGTCACGATACTGATAGAAAAATACTGAAATTCTGTCTACCAGCTTGGACTGAGTAACTTTTGGCAGAAGGGCGTGTGGGAATATGGAAAGCCCTTTTAACATTTAATCAGTATGGCTCAGTAGCCATTTAGTTTATTTCTAGTGGAAATGACATATTGTTAGTTCTGTCATTTTGATGTCATAATGTAATTTAAGATATCTGTAAATTTATCTTTATGTTGCATGTATATTTTCACGTTAAAATTACATTTTGGCTGGTCTATATTGATTCACAGATATTTTTAATGTAATCATAAATATCAGTAATTAATTTTTACAGATATCTACAATGGAATTTCCACATGTTGAAGGATATTGACTAGTGGAAATGTAACCTCAACCTTTCAGATATCAGTAGTTGCATTTCTGACATGTCCAACATATTAACAAATCATTTTGGAAATGTCACTTAATCTGCTCTCATTAGTTGCGCAGTTTCGTCTGTAGCAGGAAACAATGGCGGCTCGACTGGTCACACACAATCTCGTATTACAACTGTATTACAAACAGTACACTAAAATATGTTTCTGAAACAATTTTAGGTGAGAAATAGTCAATGCAGTAACAAAATCCTGCTCTGTATTTGATCAGCACTGCCTAGTTTGATAATTTGTTCTGAGTTTAGTGCACTGAGCTGGACAGACTCACTGAGAATGACCTGTCAATCACAAGGTAGCCATGCTTTATTGTCTATTTTACTCTAAACTGGACCACAATTTACTAAATGAACGTCATGCTGTATGGAAGAAGACTTGGAACTAGAGACTGAGACCATACACTCATTAGGAAACTGTTTACTGAGCTCATAAGTCAAGTGAGAAATTGGGTCATGTCTCCATTAGAGTGCATGGTATCTGTTTTTATTGCAGCCAATGGAGCTAGCCCTGCTGATCATTACATAGAATGCAGGTTTAAGACACTTCCTTGTTGGCTTCACTTCACAGACCGAGAAGCTCTGTCCACTATATATACTGTCAATGATATGTACCTCATTGAAGATATGTACAATTACATTTCTGGTATTCTGACATATCAACAAATCTTTTCGGATATAATGCCTAATTAGCATGTTGTTGTTTTTTTTATTTGTACCTCAAGATATCTACAATGACATTCTAGTTGACATACTAATGACTAGTGGAAATTCTTTTTTTGATTTGATTAAATTCTGAATACTTGTAATTGTGGATATCTCAAATAAAATTGTTCATAGTACAAGTATAATTTTTACAAGATATTTAGATATCTGAAATGCAGTTGTAGCTATCTCAAATTACTTTATACATTTTACTGGTCAGAATATAATTTCACATCTCTAGAATTGCATTTATCATATCTGTAATTTAAGAACAGTTGTAGAAATTTATAATTAATCACTAGTAAGATTTTTTATATTCATATCAACAATTAGCATTTGCAAGTGTGAGAATGTAATTGTTAATAATTAACATTTTGACTGGTAAGAACTGAATTGTAGATATCATTAATTAATTAAAAATGTATAATGTATATGTTGACTTAAAATTATGAAATTGAGTGAAATTGAGTCATAGATAATTGAGTTTAGATATCTGTAATTGAGTTTGAATAGAAGCTGGTGGTAAAAATTGACTAGTTGTAATTAAGTTACATAAACCGATCAGTCATAACATTCTAACCACTTGGGCACCTTGGTGGTCACAATGTTATGCAGCCCCATACCAACAAACTGTGATGCACTGTGTGTTCTTACACCTTTCTATCAGAACCAGCATAAACTTTTTCAGCAGTTTGAGCTACAATAGCTCGTCTGTTGGATCAGACCACACACTCCAGCATTTGCTCACCACATGCATCAGTGAGCTATGACCCTGTCTCCAGTTCACTGCTTGTCCTTCCTTGGACATGGAAATTGGAAATTAATTGCTGACATTTTGAATAGTAAGAAAAACTGGTATTAGTTAAAATTATATTATTAATATGTTGGCTCGGAAATAGTGAAAATGCAGTTTTTGATATCTACAACTTCTATCACTTCAGTTTATTAAATGTTAAATGGCTTGCCATCGTGGGAAATATTTATAACTACATACAACTAGTAGACCTTTAAAAGAAGGACATCTATCTGAGTAACATCATATTTTTATGGTTGCATTACAGATATAGTGGAAAGGAAAGCACAACAAACATGGTGATCCTGGATATCAAAATTCTCTCTGGATTTGTCCCAGACCCAGAGTCTTTGAGGAGGGTGAGTTATTACAGTAAATTCAACCTGAGTAGAAATTGAATAGTTTTCATCTGTTTTTGATGAACAACCCAGCTAAATATGGTCTCCTCACAGCTCAAAGGTGCTCTGCTGGTGGATCGCGTTGAACAAAAGGAAGACCATGTTCTTGTGTACATACAGGAGGTGAGAGAAATTCACATTGAGGAACAATAAATTATGCTCTTCAGATTCGTTACTGATGGCGTCTTGTTTTTCTTCCAACAGTTACCAAAGGACATACCCATCAACCACAACTTAGAGCTCATACAGGAGCTGCCAGTGCAGAACCTGAAACCAGCCGTGGTCAAGATCTATGACTACTACCAGCCAAGTAAAACCCTAAGTCCCTTTACAGATCATAGCACACACTGACAAACTCCCTAGTCGAGTTGTACAAACAAACTGAAAGTTATCAGAGTTCTAATTTTAAAGTACTCCATTTTTTAATATGTTAGACTGTTGAACACATGAAGAAAGTTTGACTATTTTTGTTTTTTCTCTCTTTTATCTCTATTCTACTTCTTACTTTATCCTCAGGTGACCAGGCAGAAACAGAATATATCTTCCCTTGTGTTGCAGGTAACAATCTGTAATAACATACACAAGCACGACCACGTTTATTGAGCCATTAAATGTCCAAAAAGACTTAAATGAGCCAGTTTTGTAAATTAACTAAACAACTGATGTAGACTGTATGTGAATTATTCTTTTATTCTTTCTTTTGCAGCTTGAAGAGTGTCATATGGTCAGTCCTCAGGCTTCCATAGACCATAAAATAAATTGTCCCACTTAAAACTGTTTTTCCAGTGTTGTTTTTTGTATGTTGTTTTTCATCCACTGACCAGAAGTTGTTCAGGACAGATTAATGAGGAAAATCGAATTACGTTCAAGAAGGCAACAAGTGTTCTATTGGCTTTCATAGGAGTCATTCATTTAAGTACAGTTTAGATTATGTACGTCAGACTTTGCTGATTGGAAGATAGTATGTTATTTAAGCTGTGGTATTTTAAAATCACATAGGCCGTGCACTGTTGCCTCACAGCAAGAAGGTTGTGGGATCGAACCTGCCAGCCTTCCTGTGTAGAGTTTATGTTCTCCCTGTGCCTGCCTGGGTTTTCTCCAGGGTCTCTGAAGGTATGAATACGAGTGTGAATAGATGTCTGTCTTTATGTGTTAGCAATTTGATTAACTGGCCATCTGTCCAGGTTGTACACTGCCTCTCGCCCAGTGACAGCTTGGCTCAGCTTTAGCAACACACAACCTTCTGAAGGATAAGCAGGTGTTGCTTAAGGGTTTTATATTTTATGCATTTACAAGCCATAATTTTGTTTCCCTGGTAACACTTGGGATCCTTCTTAATACCTGGAAGAATCATTACCATCCCACAAGGTTTTATTGCAATAAAAGGTTCTCCAGTAAATTGAAGGAACCATTGGTATGACTTGGCAATGGGAGATGTTTTGTAGTTCCTGCCAATCAGAGCACTTTGGCTCAGCTATGAGACCGAGTGCAATTGTTAAGTAAAGTGAAGTCAAGCATGTGTACTGACGACCGCAGCCTGAAGTAGTGACCTAAGTAGTGAATGGGATGTGGGGCAGTATACTACCCTGGGCGATACCTCACACTGTGTTCAAAAGCCGAGAATTCTACAACCCAGCACTGCTCTGTCTCACCCAGCTTGGCAGTGTCCAGATGGCTCAGGGGGTTGCTATGAGTCCAAACCACACACAGCTGGCCACACAAGTACTCTGAACTTCTCTGTCATCGCCCACGTCATGCCGAGAAACTCCCAACTACATGAAAGTATAGTTCTTTTCTGCTGGGTGCAAACTCTGGCTAGCATATGCAGCTGGCCGCACCTTTCCACATTGCCCCCAAGCTACTGTGGCTGGCATCGACCTCGAGAATGAAAGGGAGGGAGAAATTAGAAAAAGCCAGGGTGGGGGCATTTACTAAGCAGGCCTTTAACTCCTTGAAGCTCCACCTCTCAGCTCTCTGACGAGAAATCCCCCTGCACTGACCTCTGTCGCCTTCGTGTCTTCACTCCTGCCAGCTCAGCAAAGCCTACCACAGAACTCCTGTTATTGCTGGCAAAACCTAGGATGGACCTGAGTTCAGAGACATTAGTAGGATGGGGCCAGTCAGCAACAGGTGGCAGCAACCACCTCAACGTCTAGCTTCAGGTAGCCAATATAGGGTATTTTCAACCCATAGGGGGCTCACAGCTGCAACCAGTGACATGACTGTAACTTATCTTGAAAGTTTTGCTGGAAGAAACTCTCCCGTATAGTATAAAAAAAATAACATTTTAACCTGTGTTGAGCACGTCTGACATACATCTTGTAAAACATCTGACATACATCTTGTAAACGCTCTCTGACAGCTGAGATTAGCTACTGCATACATTCTCTTAACTTCAGAACATCGTCTAATTGAATTCATATCGCCAAATGAAGAAAGTTCTGGTACAATTCATTCACACATCTCTTTCTCACTTCTTTTCTGTCATCTCTCCACTATTGGGATTAAATATATGAGCATGGCTTACTCTGTTGAGTGAGGTTGTTCATATTTAGCTGCCTTCACTTTCAAACCCTCGTTTTCTCAGTCCAACACATGTGCACATTTTACATTGCTGGTCATTGCTGTTTTTTTGGACATTGATTCTCTTGTCCTTACCCTTGAAAGCAGATGTGTGGGTGTTGCACTTTTTTGTGTTGTAACCCACCATCGTTGTTTGAGGATGACCACAGAGTCCACACAGGTTTGCTTACTGGAAGATGGCCTAATCAGGATAATCACTGTTTATATGGCAAAATCAAATATCGCAGTGTTTACAGGGCACTGCTGCGGTTACTTCATACATCAACTAGATTTGCTGCTGGCCTCCAGAGGGGTTACGCCTTTGTTGCCTCACAAAAACTGTATGAGCTCATCAGCAGTCACGTGGCCACGCATTACTATCTCATGGCCACGCGTTATTATCTCGTGGCCACGAGATAGTAATTCTTTGCAAGACACAACACAACACAACACACAAATGAGACTGATTTGCGGACTTCATCGTGTCTTCTTAGCGGCGTTTGCAGCTTTCCGATGACGTCACTTCATAACGTTCCCATGGCAACAGGAGGAAAATGGCTGCTCTTGTGTAAAATAAACGCAACATTTTTCAACTTTCTGCGAAGATATATGTGCCTGGACAGGGTCAGATTCGAAACCTGGGCTGCTGCAGCAAGTGCTTCCATAGACCTCTTTTTTGAAAGTCTTTTCTTCTCTTTGTTCTATTAACACAGATTGTTTGCAATATGGAAAAACAAAAATATTTTGCATGTTTGAAATTACTTGGAAATTTTTAAAGGAAACTCAAAGTTTAATGGGTTAAAATTTTTGTGGTTTGTATGTTTTTGTTTGTTTAGGATAAACAATCTGTGTTAATAGAACAAAGAGAAGTAATGTAATGTAACCACTTTACAGATTGTTTCTGTTGACCCAACAACTCCAGAGGGAGCTGGTCTCTTGACATTAACTTAAAAAGTCAATGTAACCTTTTGAACCAGGACCTTCAGTATTTGGATCAAGTAGCTTGTAAACAATATGGTGTCAGATGTATCTATTATATCAATGTGTCATACATATTTAATCAATATTTAGTTACATATCAATATCAGTGACATTGTGGCAATGAAAACCAGTATTAGTGACACTGTTTGATAGTGGTGCAGGTGAGCTGGAATATACACACCAGCTAGTGGAGTCAGTTATGTAATATATTGACTTACACTGGTGATCAATGTGTGTGCTCTTCAACCAGAGTTAAGTCTCCAGTCTGCTGCTGGTGAAGCTCTGGGTCAATAGTACACCCAGGGCCCCTTTAGGTAAACTAAACTGTGCTGCTTTTAAATATTTTTGCTGACACAATAAATCTGTAGACCCTTATACCAAAAATTTTTATAAACTATTAATCAGAATTACATACACTGAGACGGAGAGTTCATCTGAGTGTCGACTGTTCATCATTGATGTCTTACAGAAAAATGTCTAACCAGGACTCATGAGGACCCACTGTGATGATAACAATGTAAACCGACTTGTCCTTTACCTATCTTTCTCTTTTTCTTTTTTGCAGTACAATAACATCGAAATTAAGGTAAAATATTATTCATGCAACATTGTTTTTTTTTATGTACATTCAGTAAATTTTTGATAAACCAAACTTTCTGTGAGCTGTAACTTCAAAACTCAACTCCCAAATTTCTTATGTCGATGCTGACATCAAGATTTCACAGTATGAAATGTATGAATGATAATGTAAGAACAGTAGATTTCTACAGCAAACGTCAATGAAAATGAATCTGTTATATGTCATAACAACACATACCTGAAAAATTACATTAAATACAACCTTAAAAATTCATTTTTGGGGCACCCTGAAAGCTCACCTGGTAGAGCTGGTGCCCCATGTACCAAGAGTCCTTGCTGCAGTGGCCATGGGTTTGAATCCGACCTGTGGCCCTTTCCTGTCTATCTTCAGCTCACCTATCCAACAAAGCCAAAAAGCTTACATGTATAAAACATACATTAAAGGTCAACTGACCATTGAAACTAAAGAAACTGAACTAAAAATTCATACAAAGTTTTAAAAGCGTGTACTGTAGATTCTAGCATCCTGCTACAGTCTTCATCAGTTGATATAGTTTGCTCAGTTTTGTTTTTCTTTTTGTTTTTGTACTGCACAAAATCCATTCAAGACTGTTATATTCAAACAGTGATATAAAAGCTAGTAAGTGGAGATTTTGTCAAACTGCATTAGACTTGATGTTAAAGGGATATGAAGCAATTATATATGCTTTTCTTTGTTCATATATCTACAAATACACTATACACACTGATGTCAATATATCAGCAAGTGGGCACTAATATAAGCCTGCCAATACATTGGTCGAAAACAATGTTTTTCATACAACAAGTACAATTTGATACTATTTGAATGTAGCACGATTAGCACTGTATTTCTGTGTGGCATGTACATATTTTCTGTTTTAGTACCAGTTCTTCCCATTTATTTTATCAATCAGGATGCTAACAGCAACAGGATTGGACAGTGGCTGAACCAAACATCCAATGGTAAAATACTGCAGCTTTCTTACTCGTTGAACTCTGAGGCCCGTGAAGGAAGCTACAGCGTTATTGTGTCGATTGGTGAAAGTAAACTGTATCACAGCTTCAAGGTGGAGAAATATGGTATGTTGATTTTTATTCCCTTCTGTTTCCATCCATTTGTAATGTAGCAAGAATGCTAACATTCATATTTTGTCTCTAGTTTTGCCCAAATTTGATGTAAAAATAGATTCATCTGATGAATCAAATATTGAGCAGGAAGAAATCAAAGCTGAAGTATGTGCAAAGTAAGTAAAAGGCCTTTCACTCATTGTACTCAATACTTAACACTTAAATCATCTAAAAAGGATCCAGTATGGTGAGTGACAACAACACAATTGTCTATGTCCATCTAATAAGGTACACATATGGACAGCCTGTGCCAGGCAGTGTTAATGTTAAGGTGTGCCGACCTCTTCAGCACTATTTCTATGGTACCCCTGTAATCACCACTGAACATCCAGAGGGAGTCCCTGAGTTCATTTCCCCATGCTACAAGGAGACAAAGCAGGTACAGCTGCCATGGCGACCGTCTCATTTCTCTCTACTGAAACTATGTGAATATAAAGGTAGACCATACATGTGCTTATATACAGTGTGTGTGTGTGTGTGTGTGTGTGTGTGTGTTTTTATTGTATTCCATAAAAAAAAAAAAAAAAAAAAAAGCGGAGCAGAGGCAACTTCTGCATTGTTTCAGTTTGTTTAATCATGTTGTCGAGGGAATTGTTTTAACAACCATTCAGGACTGGGGTCATCTTCACATCTTATTTAAAATAACCAGCCTTTGTCAGAGCACTTCCCTTATAAGCTAAAACCTGTATTACGACAACTAGCTGGTCTTGCCTTGGGAGGTTTTAGCATGTTTGTATCCATTTCTTTCAGCATGATCAGAGACCTTTTGAAGTGTGTTTCCCTGTTAGAAAAAACAGATTTTGAAAATTACAGGTTTGTGTTTTGGCCAGGTTTGATGTTTCGTTTCTTAAGTCTTGCATGCAGAAAAAACTTCCACCGACACTTTAACAATAGTAAAGCCAAAGTAAATGGAGCAGAGTTACTTTTAAATGAACTCGGCTTCTGATACAATGGATGAGATTTAATTACCACCACCATTTCAAAAAGGCCTTTGATCATCTGCAACTCAGTGCCAAAGTGGTAGAGGAGGGGACAGGCAAGTCTTACATTTATAAACAGTTAGTACATACAGAAGATTGCTGTGCTGTGAATTTAAACAATGTGGCACACAGTTGTAGCATAGAGGCTTCTTTTACAGGTATTTCACATCCACGAGAGAAGAGAATAACCATTTCATATGTTGTTGGAAAGCTGTCCTTCATTGACACACCCAAGATTTACGACCGAGGATCAAATGTGGAGGGAAAAGTAAGTGCATGTCTCTTCTTGAGTGTCATTCTCTACACAAAGTGCAAAGGAAGTTTCATTCTCAGTGATAAAACTTGTTCTTCCAACAGGTCAAAGCAGTTTATTACAATAATACACCCATTCCTGACATGCCAGTGTACCTGTTTGAGAGTAATTTATGGTCATCACGCCGGCTGCAGAACCTCAGAACGAACAGTGACGGTGTCGCAACTTTCTCATTTAGCACAGCTGACTTTAATGGGGACATCCACCTCCATGTAAGTAAGAACACTCAAAAGGCCAACCAGGGAATGTGTTTGATGAGCAAACTGGAATTATGTTCGTATTAATTGAACCAATTGTCTTTATGTTCATTAAATGATTCATCAGAGATAATTGATAAGAATGAAATCAACCCATGTTGGTCCAACAGAAACAAATTATTTTGTGTGATATTGACTTGTTGGCTTTTGTTCCATCCCCACGTGGTTTGTTGTAGGTTTTTATTCAGTCTTTCAGGATTAAGCAGTTGTGTTGAGCCAACTTAGTGTACTTGTGTTGGATCAATTTGATTTACTAGTGTAATTTTACAACTGTGAAATTAGTTAAATCAACCCAACTAAATTAAAGTTCATTCAAGGAATATTTATTTTTTTTAATGACACTAAAACTGCATCTGTAAATATAATTTGTCAGTCACATCAAGCGCTTTAATGAAGTTGATAAGAAGCTGAAACCATAAATGGAGCCGCCATAGCTAGCGGCCATATTGGAACTGTTTACATTTGCTTTAGCGGTAAAGACTGAACTCACTTTGCAAAGCTTTCTGCCTCAACCAACATGAGCTTAATTATGTTTCTTTTCTGCACCCTAGGTTAGCAACAAACCGACACGGGAGTACTATAGAACTACTTACAGAACTGCATACTATCAGGATGCAGATCACAAATTGTCTTTGGCCCAGCCTCCCTCTCTACATACTAAAACTGTCAGCTCCCTAGAGGTGAAGAAGAAGGATACACCACTTCCCTGTGACAGTGATGAAAACATCTCCATCCGATACACTGTAGTTGGAGAGGCTCAGGGCTCTGTGGATGTGATGTATCTGGTGAGTGGTGGGTGAACTATTTGTCTGCTTGTCTTCCAGGGACATGCACATCAGGAAGTTAAAATTGCCTGTTAAAATCTGATTATTGACATCTGTCTGAAAGGAACACACTTGTTAGCATGGACTATGATGAGTTATAGTAATGGATATAATGACAACCAAAAATTGGTTGGCCTTCAAACAAAAATCTGCTCTCCCTTGATTTTTAGAAAATATTTAGGTGTCATTATTTCTGAGGCTACTACAAAGCAAGCAACTTCTGTTTCGTACTTAAACATTTTTGTAGACTCATTAAATCAAAATTAACTATTACAACATCAATGAAGCTAAACACTGGCTTTCAAGTTGTCTCACTGCCACTATAATTTCTCCTACACGCTTTACAGCCAGTTCTCATTCCCAGGTCGTCAGATACAGACGGCAGCAGTGTTTAGTTAGTTGCAAGTTCACCGCTAGATGCCACTAAATTCTACATACTCGTCCTTTAAGTAGTGTCATACAGCAATAAAACAAAATGTATGATTAAACATTATGAAGTTACTTGAGTTTATAGACTCAATAATTTGTCATACAAATAACATTTGTATTTGCACACTGCAAATTGCCAAAAGTTTCCAAATATTGTGCAAATTTTATTCAAATCAGCAAAAGAAAATAAAAATGAATATGTGTTTCCAGTCACTGCTTTTATCTGTATAGTAGGAATTGAGCACTTTAAGATTAACAAAGGATGACGTTAATTCTCGAGTCACGTGATATTAAATTATTGCAGAAGAAGAGCATTTAACAAAATAAAAATAGCATCACTAAAACCTCAAATAGAAAATAAATATGACATTTATGTTTATCATTTATTTGATTTCATGTTTATTTAGCAGAGACAATGCACAATGCATGTATTTTACCAGATACAGCTAAAAGCTCATTTTCATCTGTAGTCCCTGGGCGGGGTCCACTAGTACGCAGGTTACAAAGATAAAAGATCAGATCATGTATTCATTTGAGGAAATTAAGTTTTACTTTTGCATTATTAATTTTTTGTGTCATATTTTCCACAATTCCCCAGGTCTTATCCAGAGGAGCCATTGTCACGCAAGGACTTAAACAGGTTAAAGTTCCAGATAAATCAGGTGGGTAAACAATGACGTCTTTAAATTAACCTCTAAATTAGCATGACCAAATAATTTCTGAACTGCATACTTACTGATCTATGGATGCATGTGAAAGATGATTGTTATTAATATCGGCCTGTTGTTTCAGTGAATGAGGGCGAAGTGTCATTCAAGTTGAAAGTGTCTGCAGAGATAGCACCAGAAGTCCAGATTGTGGCCTACACCATCCTCCCCAGTGAGACTGTCATCGCCCACAGTGCTGACTTCTCCACCGAGAAATGCTTCAGTCACAAGGTCAGTATAAGAAGACTTGGCAACAGCTGTGATTGTCAGATGTGAGTTAGGACTCAAAGTGTAATAATTAGTGTCACAAAAGGTCAGTAGGTAGTCCTTCAACAATTATATAATTAATGATGACCACAGTAGTTGTCAGTTTAATTATTTTAAAACAAAATTATTCAAGAATTATTTTTTTTGCGATATGATGAACAATTGTACATGTTTATTTATAGTAATTTAACTACTTATGATCAAAAAGCCAGCTAATATTACTTACAAGCCCAACGGCTTCTTGCTGGGCTTCAAATTCTTCTCACAAGGATTTAGAGGACTCAGCCTTGGCACATGGGGCACCAGCTCCACCAGGCAAGCTATAGGCCGCCCCGGCTGTTAATTTACTTTAGCAACAAGTAAAGCTTTCTGTCCATCTGGAAACTAAGTGTAAATCACCAAGGGTTGAGGAGGAGCAGCCAGAGGATATCAGAGGGAAAACCAGAAAATAGTTTCTCCATAAAACCCCTAATCAGTGTCATAGTTTATGGTGTGTAACTAAAGCATTACACATTTTTCCTGACCTGAAAGACCGATCCACAAAGTGGGAATGACTGAGGCAACATTAACCCTTGTGTCAGTGTATCATTGGCAAATATCTCCTCACAGTTAATAAGCTTTCTGCTCTGTGTATGGGCTGTTTGTACACAGCCCTGGCTCTGTAAATAATATTCATTCAAGCCAAGACATAGGCAGCTTTAGACACCACAACTCCACCATATCTTTACATTGCAGATCATTGTTTTCTGCAATATTCATGTTTTAAATCTCACATATATATAACTTTTAAGTACCGTGAGGCAATTTTTTCTGCTAAACAACTCAGACCACAAGAAGACTATACCATCTACTGAGTGACTTCTATGTGTGTGCTGAGGCACTCGGAGCTGTGTGGCCACTCCCCTGCTAGAGACTCGACACCACCAATATAATGGCATGAGCTCAATGAAAAGGACTGATTTAGTTTAAAATGCCCTCTGATTAAAAAATCAATCTGGATGAAGATTTTTTGGGGTCAAATACACATTTGTGTTGACAAGATAATAGATTCTCATCTTAAGTCCAGATGGTGCGATGTGTCTTTATGCATCAGGTGTTGCTGGAGTTTTC